GCAGAGAGAGAATATAGTTTAGAAGGGCTTTGGTAAGGTAAGGGGTGCCTAGGGGTAGGTGGGGGTGCCAGGCTGAGGGATTCTGGGAGCAGTAAGGAGGCTGGCACTGGGAGTGGGGGGCTCAGGAAGAGAGGAAGAGCCCGCCTTGACAGGACTCACATGGCCTGGGTGGTGGTGGGGAGGGGGCTCATCTCTTTCTTGGTGTGGGACAAGAAGCCTCTAGAAGGTTCCTTCCCTGCGTAGCTCAGCAGACCAGTGATTGCAAAGGAGGTGACTTGGCTGTAACCTGGGGACTAGACTTTAACAGGGAATAGCAAGGACCAGTTTAGGAGGTGAGACATGACCATAACAATCATTTTAAGATGATCATAAAAAAGTGAAGGAGTCTACATTTCCAGCCAGGAGGGTGTTGTGTTGAGAACCAGCATCCGTGTGAGTCTAAACCTATGTAGTAACAACCCCAACTCTGGTGCAATGAAGCCTGCATGAGACACGGCTGCACAGATCTATTCCTGGTGTTTTTCTTTAAGGACACCACCGAGGGCTACTTCTCAGCCAGTCACCAAACATACCAGGTCGAATTCATCAGTTGATCATCTCTTGGCTCAATTCGAAAGATTTTTCTAGCGATGCCAGCCTTCCCATAACTAGAACATTTCTGTCAAAACTTGGCAGAGTTAAGGATTGTGGAGTAGTATTACTCATGTGAGTTTTTAATTGTGCGTGTGTGCATGTGTGTGTGCATGTGTGTGTGTGTGTGTGTGTGTGTGTGTAAGCAGCACACTGGGGATTCTGGGCTTGTTAGTAACAGTAAAGGCACAGATCGAATGATCTCAGGGGTTTCCAGAGCCATTGCTAGACCTGGAGTTGCTCATTCATTCACAGGGACATCACCCCTTCCATATAGCCCGAAATCCCCCCAAATTAGGAAGACTTGCAGATTTCAGCACAGCAAAACCAGATGGCTCCGAGCACATCTGGGGGTGATCTGAAAGATGATTCTGCAGGAATGTTCATGCCTCTGGTCACATGGGCACTAGGTGACAGGCACAGTCACACTTCAGTCATCATTCTAAGACTTCTGAAACATGTCCATGGCTTGCACAAGGGATGGGAATCCTGTATGGCGCTTGGGACTGCGCTGCTTGCCGAACTATTGACAGGCTCTGGAACATGGCGGCAAGCTGTGTGCACTGATGGAGTCTATGCACAGTGCTCAGCCATCACGAAAGGGGAGAGCTGCCATGTACAAAGGCATGGAAGGAGCCGGAGAGGGTATCCAAAATGAAGCCAGCCAGGAACGTAAATACCAGAGGAGCCCATACAGGTGACGCAAGTAGATGAGTTGCTAAAGCAAAATAATTATAAACTATTGGACACTGATAGCAAACTGAGGTTTCTAAAGTTAAGAAGGAGGGGGAGAGGGCTGTTAGGGGACACAGTAGGACAAATAGAAAAGAGTAGCTAGCTAGAAGAACACTTCGGAAGGAGAGAGACAGATTTAACAGTGTCTGGAACCTAATAAATCAACGGGGGTGAGGGGAGAGGGGGAGAGCAGGCAGATGGGGGGGGAGGGAGATGAAAGGTGGGGGGTGAGGAGAAAGACAGAAAAACCACTTGGCTAGGAGATGCATCCATGGTTTTGAACTGGGTCCTTTTGTTTAAAGAATGTCAAGGGGGAAAGGTGGCTGGAGGGGGGTGGGGAGGGAGGCGAGTGGCTGAAGCCCTCTGCTTGCCTGTGGCTGCAGCTGGCGGCTTTGCTGGGCTGCATCTGCCAGTCTAGCTCATGTGTGCGAGTCCCATGCTCTGTGCTCTGCTCGTGGTGAAGAAGCTTCTGGATTGTTCCTTCCAGAACAGGGCAACATCCCGAGGAGAGGTGACATGAAGCTGGACAATGCTGGGGTCCTGTCAGCAGGGATGGTGAGATGTAGGAGACACCCTGGTGACGGGAGGCCCCTTGAGAGAGAACTAACTCGTGGTTCCCCTTCGTCTCCAGGATCGACTGGCCTTGCTCCCAGACACTGCGGCCGGACACGGCATCTTCAGCTGGGAGCTGGCTGAGCTTAATGCTTGACTCCTGGCATGAAGTGGGAAATGGGTATCTAGGTGTGTGTTTGGGGTGATTTAAATGGCTCTGGATCTTGAAGCTGTTCCCCAGTGGCCAGTAGAACTCGGATTTTTTCCTGTGAGATCCAGAGGCCATGAGAAAGACTGTCATTGGCCAGGTGACCAGCCCAGCCAGGCATGAGCAGAGAGCTAGAGGTGCAAACCCCGCCCAAGGCCCCAGGAGGGAGTTGCACCCAGACAGGCCTGTCACCCCAGGAGGCTGGGCAGGCACTGCCCAGACAGCACGAGTTAAGCAGCTGCCCAGTTCTGCACTGCCCATCTGCACCCTCGCCTCAGCCAGCCCAGGTCAGAACTAGGGTCCAGGTGGAAAGCAGAGGCGGAATTCGGGAGAGACAGATTTCGGGAGAAGCAGGAGCAGTGAAAAGAAGACTCCTGGGAGCTTAAGCAGGGAGAGAAGGGACACAGACGATTTCGCCTTCCAGCCAGAGCGCCACCCGCCCGGCGCCCGCTAGACCAGAGACCAGCCTCCTCTCGGAACCGGAACCGGGCGCAGGGCCCCTCCGGGCACCCCGCGCCCAGCCCCACCTGCACCCAGGCAGAGTGGAGGAAGGGTCGCTGGGCCAAGACCTCCTCTGTGGCTATGGCGGAGGCCGCGGAGCCGGTGGGGGACACCCCCGGTGTCCAGGGGCCACCGGAGGGCCCGGAGCTCCAGAGCCCCGACGAGGTGGGGGCGGCGGGCAGGGAGGCGGAGCGCGAGGAGGGGAGCTCAGGCGCCGCGGAGGCGCCCGGGGCCGAGGGGGCGGGCGCAGCTGCCGCAGCGGCGGGGACTGAGGGAGGAGACCCGGGGCCCGACGGCGGGCGCGCGGGCGAGCAGGCGCCGGACACCCGCACTGACACAGGGGCAGAGACTCCAGGCGCCACCGGAGCGCAGCGCGAGGCGGGAGCCGAGCAGGGCGCCCCCCGGGACGCCGAGGCCCCCCAGCCAGGGGAGGGGGGCAAAGGCACAGAGCAGATGGAGGAGGCGGGCCCCGCGGGCCAGACACCTGGGAAAGCTCAGGGGGAACCCCGAGATCCCGCGGCCCCCGGGACGGAGCAGGAGGCAGAGCGCGGGCCCGAGGAAGGCGGAGGAGGCGAGCCCGGGGTGCCAGGGGACAGCGTGGACGCCGAGGGGCCACTGGGGGACAGCCTGGGCGCCGAGGGGTCGGCAGGAGGCGCGCCCCGGGCCGTTGGGGAATCGGGGGACCAAGAGGGCCGCAGCCCTTCGCCCCAGACCGAGATGGTAGCTGTGGGGAGCGAGGGCGGCAGCCCCGGGGAGCTGTCGGGTGAGGCTCCGGGTGGGGCAGCGGGAGCCGCCGAGGAGATGGAGGCGAGGGCAGCAGAGAAGGAGGAGGAAGCGGAGCCTGGGGAGCCCAGGGCAGACGCGGGTACAAGTGGGGACCAGGGCGAGCGGCACGCAGAGGTGCTGCAGGCAGAGCAGGGCGGGCAAGAGCGGGACCCCCAGGGGCCAGGCGAGGACGCGGCAGCGGGGGGCGACGAGGAGCCCCTCAACGCCAGTCCTGCTGCGCCTGGTGGCGGCGCGGAGCCCGAGGCGGAGCTCAGCAACCACCTGGCGGAGGACAGCGCCCAGGGGGGCGAGGAGACGGCGCCCGTGAACGGCCGGGAGGACGAGGAGGCGGCGCAGGAGCCGGGGCCGGGGCAGAAGCACGACATCACCCTCTTCGTGAAGGTAAATGTCCCTTCCTGCCACTCTCCGTCCCTTCGTCCAACTCTCCGAGCCCTGTGGTCTCAGAGCCCTGTGGTCGTGGGCAGGGCTGCGGGGAGGGAGGCCGGTAGCCAGGGTGGAGAGAAGCACGTGGGGGAGGACTGGAGGGTTTGGAAGCAAAGACGTTGGCAGGGCGGTGGGGGAAGCTGTTGCAGGGACTGGGTGGCTGGGGGGTACCCGCCGCATTCCACACCCCACTGTCCTTTGTCCTGAAAATCCTAACTGGCCTTTCTAGCCAGGGGCGCATTGAAGAATTAACCTTTTAACTCCAAAAAACAAAAAAACAAAGAGGTCACACCCTATTGATTGCAAAGCAATTTCTGCTCAAGGAAGTGCTGAGGAAAAGGAGTTGGGTGGCAACAAGAGAATATTTCTGACCTCAGAGGCGCAGATGCTCCAAAGTTTTCAGCTCCAAAGTGGTATCCCCTTGGGTAGACTCTGGTGTGTTTGGGAGGAGAGGGGAAGCTGACTGGAATGAGATAGCTTTTATCGAAGATTTTCACACTTCTTGTAGAAGAATACGCTGCTTTCGATACTTGGGCACTGTCGGCCTCTGTCACCTGTTCAACCTTATTTCACCTTGGAAGGCAGCAGTGATTCTGTTGAAGATTTTGTAGAGTCCTGATTGAGGAAGCACTGAGTTTAAACAGGACTTTCTGGAAGTTTTCAAAAATCAGAGACAGGTGCAGGGGGTAGCTTGCTGGAGGAATTTTGCTTTATGAAAAAAAGTGAACAATAATCAGGTTAAGAATGTGCATTGCGCGCTCAACCATAATCCTTCTAAAATGCTTGGAGGCTTAGAGAAGCCAGTAACTACCTACACCTCCTGAAATGTAAGCAAATTCTAATTAGCAAAATTAGAAATGACCCCCCAAGTGATTAGCATCAGAAGAGTTGTTTGGAGGACAAAGGGCGTGAAGGGAGATAGGGTGTGTGTGTGTGTGTTACTCTAGTGGAAAGGTGTTTGAACAATTTGGGACACTTTGAACAATTTGAGACACTTTAAGATTTGGGACCCAGCCTGAGGACACCTGGGAAGGCCACCAGGAGCAGGAAGTTTGCAGGAAAGTTAAGGGAGGGGGAAGCTCACCTAGTGTCTCTCTCTCTGTGCGTGTGTGTGTCCTTGATCTCCTTAGTTTAAGAAATTTGCTCTGGTCACAGGGTTACATGATTCCAGCACATTCCAGCTGCTGTCAGTTTGGAAATGTAGCAACAGCTGCTTCTAGTTGAGCTCTCTCCAATCCAACCCCTTAGTAGTAGCCAGTAAGCTAGGAAAAAAGATCATCTGATCATTCTGTTTCTTAGCTAAGTGTCTTCTGTTTATTGCTGTGACACGTCTATATCACACTCCCAGCCAGTCCATGAAGCCCTTTGTGATGTCACCCCTCTCCTGGCCTGCTTATCCCAGCCTGACTGCCCAAGGTTCTGCCAGGCAGGATGTGTGGAGCACGTATTTTTCCTTGAGAAACCATAATCTTTGCTGCCTTGAAATTTTGTGTGAGTGGTACCCTCTACCTAAAATGAATTTCTCCCCCCTCGTCCCTCTCCCTGGTTCTTGCCTGACTCTCTGCTCTGCATTCAGGGTTCTGCGTGAGCATCATCTCCTCTGGGGAGCCGTTTTCAGCCCCAGTCTGGGCTGGGTGTCTCTCTGGTGAAGCGACATTTACACACCACTCTGTGTGTTCCCTCCCTTGACGATGTGGTTCATCGCTGTAACCCTGATGTGGCATGCAGGTCTGGAAAGTGATGAGGACCTGGAGGTAGATTTGTTTGTGTGAGCAGTAGAGTCTGGTGAGCAAGGTGGTGGGTCTGGGATCCAATCCTGGCTCTGTTTTCTTGCTGTGCAGGTCACTTAACCTTTCTGTGCCTGTATTGCTTATGCGTAAGCTGGTACTAATAATAGTATTCACTGAGGTTGTTGTGGGGATTCAATAGTGAAATTCTATAATGCAATTAATACCTGATTTGGAATAAGCATAAGATAAATGTGATCGCTTATTGTTCTCTCTGCTCAGCTCCAAAACATTTTCATTGTTTTGAACAGAAATAATCCCCCTTCCCTATTCCATCTCTGCCTCTTTTTTTTTTCCTTTTAATGGCACATCCCTCTGGGTATCTAATTACCTCCATTCTCTGGGGATAAGAATGTTATGAAAAGCAAAAATAAGTTGTTTTCTCAGATTCTGCTTGGGAGTAGTCTGTGTAGATAGAGGAGGGGACAGACAACCTTGCCAGAATGTTCTACTCTGATAATTAGCTGGGTGCTCATTTTGTACCCTTTTTGTTCTTTAAGGAGAAAAACCTCTCCAAACAGATTGGTTACAAGTACCGGAAAGCAGTAACTTGCAACCCAGTAACATGTAGTAATAAAATCTGCTTCTAATTTTAGCCAGTTAAGGATTTATAGTCTTCCTCTTTGCAAGAATTGCTGTTTTTTTAAGTTGTCACTTTGCTTTACTCTGTAAGAATGAATTTTTATATATGAAAGAGTCAGGGACATAGAAAACAGCCAAAAAAAAAAAAAAAAGTGTCCCTGAGTTATTGTATGGCCAATTGATTGCTGACCATACTAATTTTTAGATTCATTTTCTCAAAAATGTGTTAATTATGTGTCATCAAGTTATAGGGTAACCTTATATTTAGGAAGAATAGTCTATTCTTATAACCCAAAGGGTAACAACTTAACAATATAACTACATAATAACAATAAACAGCAAACAAAATATTAACAACCAAGGGTAAAGTCAGAGCTTGAGAATTTGGGGGCTAAGCACCAAAGGAGATTGCTCTTCCAAGTCTAACTAGAGTGTGGAAACTTTGAGGTAGGGCTGGGGGGGAGTATCACAGCTGAGATTCAATTTTCTTGGCAAACTTTACATGACATTAAAAAAAAAACAAAACTGGGGACCCTCCCTAGTGGCGCAGCGGGTTAAAGCACTGCACTAAGAAGCTTAAGCCACTTCCTCATGAGTTCGATCCCTGCCTGTCCCGGAGGAGATCCACATGGCTGGCAGACCTCTCCTGACCCGCCCGCTGCTCCCCTCAGCAGTGTACTTCGTCAGTCTGCCTGTTCTGCTCCCCACTCTGTCCCTCGTGAATCCTCTCACCCTCCGCATCTCTGGCCTGTACCCCAGTTCTGTATGAATAAATAAATAAATAAATCTTCTTAAAAAAAAAAAAAAAACAACAACAAAAACAAAACACCTCAATGGGACTAGCGACTAAGCTGGGTCAGCATCTAAGAATTTCTTAAATCATATTAGGACACCAGGCATCTAGCTGTTTACACACAGCTGCTGCTGAGGTGGAAAGCTTGCATTTGCTACATTTGGATTCTCCAAAAAGGTGAAACGGATGATAGCACAGAGTCAAATCTCAAGAGGCCATGGCCTTTGAATAAGCATTGTCACCTGGCAATGGTGCTAAAGTGAAGGCCTGAATGAATCGCACGGGGGTGCATTGCAATAAGGCTCGGAGGGATGGGGGCACTGGGCTAGTCCAGGGCACGGGGCCACCAGTATGCTGGGCTCTCTGAGTTTGGGGGGAGCAGAGCATGCTGAGACCTATGTGGGACCCTGTCTCTGAGGAGCTGCAGAGGGCGATGTTATTATTATACCTCTGGGAGGTCTGCATGTTCTGAAGGGAAATGAACCAAAGTGCATCGTGACTTTCATTCTCCCACCCAAAATGACATTTTTGGTCATTTGTTTTCTGAGCGTCTTATGAAACTTGACGATAAAAGACACGTATCGAAACCAGTACAGGGCAGTGGGGGTGGAAATGAAGGTACAACCCATTGCTTGCTCATCTCTTACAAGCACGTGCACGCACATGGGTACAGAGCCACCACGCGATGCCCCTCTATGTCCCTCTGTGTCCTCTATGGCAAGACGGTGGGCAGCGGGTCCGGGCGCTTTTGGGGATGAGAGAGAGGTGACCGGGAGCGTGGCTGGTTGATTCACGGCAGTTTAGCTAGTGAGAAATAGCACACAACCTCCACCCCACAGTCCCGGTTCAGTGGCCACTGTCAAAGGGCCAGAGTCACCCCGTCCCTCCATGGGGACATCTGGGCGGCTGCACTTCCAGCCGCTCGAGGCCCACTGGGCCACAGGCCTGGCTGACGCGCTGCTGTGCCGCGTGCGCATGCGCCACAGTTCTGGTGGCGGGAACCAGTGAGCACGTGGCTGCACCTGCAGCTGGAGTCCTCGCTGGGTCCGGAAGCAGGTGATTGAACGTTTTTGTTACACACACACACACACACACACACACACACACACACACACACACACACACAGAAAAACAAAGCCTAGAATCTGAAGGGGTGGGAGCTGAGCCATACTTTAGGTCTACATGAACGCTGCCTTGCCTCTAGGTTAATGTATGAACTCCGCACCTGTGCGTTTATCGCCTGCTGTGTGTAGGGCGCTGGGCCTGACTGTGTGGCCATGGCCTCGAGCAAGACCACTGCCCTCACAGAGCTGACCATTTAACAAAGGATGGAGACGGTCTGATTAGATCAAAAAGCTGGGGCTAAGAGTTTTTCTCTCCATGTTCTCCCAGCCCCCCCACCCCCAAGCAGGGTCTGCAAACACAGTGAACCCCATCCTAACCCCCTCCCCAATTAAAGCTGGAGGGTGATGGAGGGGGTGAGGGTGAGCGGGCGGCCGCAGGAGTCCCTACCAGGAGGGTCTTCAGATACAGCGAAGGCATGAACTTATGACTGATCTAATTGTATTTGGGGAAAATACAAAGGGGCTCTGGAAATCCCTACACAGATTCTTTAAGATTTTCGGATATGGGCTGGTTTTGCTGTAGCCATTCTCTAAACTCCTGTGACGTTGGGCAAAGGAAGTTTTCTCTAGCATGGGGAGGTGTTTCATCTGAAGTCGGCTTTCTCTATCATTAATCCTCTCTGCTCTTTTTCCTATAGAGTGTTGAGCTATAAACTGACTTTGTATCAGGCC